GCCAAGCCTATGATACTTCAAAAAAATTTAATTTAGTTGATAAATACTTTAAAATTTACGCATCACATCGCGGTCCACTATACATATATTATATACGGCATAATAGTGTACAGTCATTCGCATAAAACAAAAAAAATGTTTTTTGATAAGCCGTAGTAGTGTTGAAGATTTGCAACAGTCAACGTCATAAAATAAACATATTATAAACATATATCTATACTATGTACATGTATAATATATTATAATATTATAAAACCGAAGAGTATTTGTTTGTTTGTTTGAAAGCGATAATCTCAGGAACTACTGGTTTGAATTGAAAAATTATTTTTATGTTGCAAGGCTATTTGTCGAGGAAGGATTTAATTAAGCTATATAACATTACGCTGCGGCCAATAGGAGCGAAGCATCAGTGAAAAATGTTGAAAACGGGGAAAATGATTCACATATTTGAAGGCTTCGGTTGCTTGCGCTGAATAGACGGTTCAAGTTACCCAAAAAATATGTATGAAAGAATTATTCCTCTTAAAATGATCTAAAAAAAATGTCCACGATAGTATATGTCTATCTTTTAAGATTGGTTCACTGTATAACCTTTTTTATGGTACCTAATCAAATTTGGTCGAAATTAATGCATATTATTGCCAATTATTCGCCGAAGAGTTTTATCAACATACTTAACCAAATAAAAGTGTTGTTGATTAACACGTTGAGTGCCACAGTATTTATGAAGCACATATATAGTGAGTTTCCGCGCTAAAACTGAGCCACGACGCCGTAGGTCGACTACGTGTCGACACCGCACCGGTTCCGCTTAGTGCGCGGATAAAAAATATGCACCATTAAATAAACGAAATACGAACACTCTGTACTAACGTTCTCGGGATATTGATGTGTTTTACAGTTAGTAACGAATAATAATAATTTTGTCGTAGACAATGATGGGTATCAAATTAAATATATAATAAACGGTATGTAAAAATATGAATATAGGGTGTACCATATACATATATATAGTCTGTGAACATAAATATGCACTTATTGTTATTATACATCCGAGCAAGATACACCCTACAGTACATTATAATAATAAACTAATAATATTTCGTCAGGATGTTATAGTAACAACTAACAACGATAATAATAATATGATATTAATTTATTATCTGAAATAGCACAGCCGCGTTAATCGGTAACGCTCAACGTATATGTTAAGAGTATTTAATTTGCTTACCCCGTCGTGTAATACCTTTATAATATTTTTTTTTCCGTTACACACGATTCATCTATCTAAGTAGATTTTTTATATAGTTTTATGAATTCATTTTAAGGGAAGTCTTTTGACATACATTTTAATCGATTTACGTACCAGAAGTAGGTACGAGTATATACATTATTAGGTACCTAATTATTCATCTGACGATTGTTTTTCTTGATTACGGGACGATACGGTTTGATTAAGTTTTAATTTCCTACGTTCTTTCTTTTATCTTTTTCGTCACTATAATGCCTATAGAAAAATAACTCAGCTTTCTCCGCAGACTGCTCTACTGCAAAGCGGCTGCGACTCTTGCGCAACAATGAAACAGCGGATGAAAATATGCATATAGGTTGGCTACTCGACGAGCGATCAGTGAACAAAGCCGGGCTAGGGAATCGAGCGTTGAACGTTCTCAACGTTTGGCCTCACAGAATTCCCGAACTATTGTGCAAACCGCGAAAGGGAATCAAGCGCTGAACGTTCCCATCGATTATTGCGGCACGGCAAAATGCGCGATCAGCAAGGAATAGAACTCGCAGGCGACATGACTTATTCTGTTTTTGCTCATGATTGTACCCTCGCAGACCATGATGCTGAGCTAAATGATATCGATATTCGCAGATTGGATAAAATATGCAACTTTTGGCAAGCAAAAATACGAAGCTTTGATAATCTAACAATTTCGTTTTCATACAGACATGAATGACAGGTATATATAGTTATTATTAAATAGGTGTGGTTCACGATATATGAAAAAATCAATAATCACAATAATGCTATTAGGTCACAGAATAAGACAATACTACTATCTATAATATGTATATGATATTGCATTTGGTATAAATATTTCAATGTTAATTTATAAGTTTATATAAGAATCGCCAGTCGCAACATATACCTATAACCTATATTATAATGTAGTACGATACTATTTGTGTATAATGTTAGGTATACTTATTTGTATATGTGTGTACACGTTTGTTTTTTGAGTATGTATGTTATAGTAACGTTTTGATTGATATTATACACGGGCCCTCTTCCATTTTAGATAGTAATTATGGTTGAAATATAAATGTCAATATAATTTGAATATATATATATATATAATCAATACACGGTATAGAATAATATATAGGTATTAATGCGTTGTATAGTATATACCTATAGTGTTTATATAAAATGTCATAAATGTTTTTATTGAACACAACGTTTTATACCAATAACTGTATATATGCATATTTAAAAAATACGAATATGCTGGTTTTGGCAAGACGATTATTTTGTCTCACGTAATGTGTATATCATTATAAAATATAAGCATCAAGCAACACCGTCCACCGCGCAAGTATAGGTAGTAGCCATGTGCACACATATGATAATAATGCATTATTAGGAAAAATATTAAAGGTTTTTTAAGTTCTAGTCATTTCAGATAGATCATCTATAGTTAGATCTATATGATAGTAATTTCTTCATCTTTGTACAAAAGTTTTCTTTATATTTAAAAAAAAAAAATGAACAAGCAGCAGAATAGGGCACTTATATTGTTTGTATTTTTTGTAGGTATACCTACCTAAATATATCTATATATAACCTATATATGAATTATTTAAATTCATGAATTTTATAGGGACTCATTTAAAATACTATTCTCAGCAGGTGTACTGAAAAAGGTTTATTAAAGCAGCTAGTTTGAAGTTTGAAATTTGAAAATAAGTTCTTCAAATTATACCACAACAATGTATATCTACCTATATTATACTGCTAGACGCCTATATGACTTTATACTTATACATTTACCTCTCATTAATTTATCTTTGTATGAATAATTTTTAAAGGAAAGTATACCTTACGACCTTTTCACTTTTTCATGTATAATAATATATTCCAACTTAATTAGTTTTTTTTTTTAATTTATCAAGAATTAATTTTAGATTTTAATAATACTGTATTGCCCGGGACTTCTAGCAAACGCATATTTTTGCATATTTTATGTGGGTTTTTTTTTACATACTCGCATATATTTGTTAATTTTCATACTTTTTGAGAATATTTTGATTTTAAAACGAAAAAAAAACCATTAAATATATTACGATGAAATTTAGATCATATATTTAGAAAAACACACATTTTATAAATAACTATTGTTTACAATCAGTTTGAAATCGATTTGAAAAAAAAGTCGAATTAATAATATAATTATATGACACGTTGTGATGTCTATATATTAATATATTATACATTAATGTTTGTACCCAGGTACATAATAGGAGAGGGAACAGATTTTATTTAAAAAATATACAACGGACTGTTTGTGTAACAGCTATACTATATATAGGTGACAGTACACTTTTTAGACATAATTATGTTATTGGTTGTAAATTGTAATACAATTTGTGGAGTCTAAAGATAAATAAATACATAGCTTAATATAATACCTAACATGGTATAAAATTCAACACGATGAACAGTGAATTAATTATAATTAATTACAATGCAAATCGTTTATTATATCGTGAATCACATATAGAGTACACATGGTTTATGTATTACATTTATTATGTCTTTCATTCTTTAAAAAAAAATTGTTTTATTGATTCTTAGATTGGTCGTATGCATTTTAAACAATAGTCCAATATCACTTTGGGGGTGGTGCCCCCGCAGAAGGTCTGTGCCTCAGCATAGACATCTCACATCTCAGTCCTCTATAAATTATAATAGGTATTATATTATAATACCATAGTATATATTATATTGCAGATGTTGTAAGTAGGTAACAGTGTTTTATTTTTGTATTAATTATACAATCATACATTTTGTAAATATGGAAATATTTTTGTTTAATACAATGTGGATATCAAATTTTAGAAAAATATTTCTATTGTCACAGTGAAATCGTTTTAAAACTCTCCATATCTATTTAATTTTTAAATTAAAATTGAAAACACGCACTGTAACAGTATAAATTATAATATCGACTTGGCGCACATGGGAGTGATGACTGTAGTTTCTATATTACAAGTGAGGTATGCTTGATGCACAATTCCATATAAGATATTTGGTAGGTATAGTTATAAAAATAATAATATGATATAAATGTATTTATATTATGTATACCTACAGACTATGATCTATGGTCTAAATTCTAAATTATTGCCATAGCGGTATACTGCACAATATCAGGTTACAGCTCCATTATTATTCTGTTCTTTGTATTATCTTCGACTTGAACATTTACAATCAATTCAATAAACTAAGTGTTCAAACAACATAAATATATACAGTCTTATAGACTATTAAGTATGATTGACCTATTACCCATAGTTTATTTTTTAACCAAAGTATGAACTATAACATATTATAATAATAATAGTCGTACCATTCGCACTATGCATATCCATATACATAGGTACCGCGCCCACGTATTATATTATAAGTTGTAAGTTATAAAAATCGTCGTTTCGATGCCTATACAGTATACATATATTTTTTTCGCATTTATATATCACATTAATATATACTATATTTACCATGTCTTTATCTAAATATAAAATATGTTGGGTTATCTATATTCCCAACCCGGTACATAGGTACCTGCTATAACTCTGACAAAACAACGACACTTCTGTTTCAGATTCAAAACGATGAAAAACGATGGCGAAAAATATCGACTGCTCGCCATATTCATATTTTTTGCACAATGATATTACGGTGGCGTGCCCTGTTGGAGTACACGGTAATGTTGCACGATTTCGTATTTTGAATATTATTTTACTATTCTCTTTTTGGTCGGCGTTTTATACACGGCGGACGGACGGCGAATACGGGAAAAAAAACAACCACGACGAAAGGGTGTGGAGGGTGGGGGTTGAACGGAGTGACAAGATTGGCCGACGTGCGGTCCGGAGCTCCGCCGTTTTATGGATTTTCACTCGGTATCGACCCAGACGCGCGCGAGTGTCGGCGGCGGCGGTGGCGACCGCCGCTGCCATGGGGGAAGTAAAAAAAAAGAACCCGCGTGTTCATACGATAATATCGTACATATTATAATATATGTATACATATACAGCATTCTTGAAACCATTTTGGCCGACCCTTCGAATTTCATACTCCACGGGCCGGAGGGACAGACTGACGCTGCACTAGTTATTTCGAAACGAGTGCAAACGTGCACAGAGATCTTTAAATCGCATATTTCACATTATTATGGTTGTATACAGCTATCATGCATATAAAGGTACACTGCACCGCCATATAGTATAAAATCCTTTAAAATTTGATGAAACGACTTTCACAGAAACCGGCTATATTTTCCTAATTGCAAAGAAAAATAGGTTTTTTTAAGCATTACGCACGTTGTATAATGTATACTATATATTGTCATACGATTTAAAAATAACAATTACGATGTTTTAGTTTTTTAGCGTGTATTTTATAGTGTGTGCGGTACATACCTACCTAGCGCAATGATGCCCTATATAGTTGTGATGCGAAGAAGCTTTATCGATATAGTTCAATGCGAATAGACATTTAATTATTATAGGCACCACGTAGAAAATTAACTTTGAATGATATAAGTAACAATATTACTATATGACAATATTATGTAGATATATTAATTTATTTTATAGCTGCTTATCACAGTTCTTTTTTTCTTTGAGTCATAATAATCTATTAAGACGATTAAATAGACTGTATTACTAAAAATGATCACCAAAATATAGTGTATATTATATCTAGCAATATTTCGTGCATAAAATCTTGTTTAAAATGTACACTACGATACGCCTTTAAAACACATATTATATAATAGTATTTACACCACCATGTAGTATATTCTTCGTAATGTTATGTTGAACCGATGAAATTTCTTTTAGAATACGGCTTTTCCCCCCGATTTTCGGTTTTTAACTATTACGCTTGTTGTATGTACGATTGAAAAAACTTATATTTTAGTTGTTTTTTAGTTTTTTTAGTGTTTATTTTAGTGTTCATAACACAATGGTTTAGTTGCGTGAAGATAGATAATTTCAATAGTTCAATATACTACGGATAGACATTTATTATTCGACAACGTAAAAAATATTATTCTTTTATGATAACACCTATAACAATTCGCAGGTATATCAATTTAAATTTATCGCTGCTTTTCATATTGTTTTGATTTTTTGAGATCATGATTGTTAATGACTCGTTGCTTAATTCTGAAATGCATCTAGAAACGTGTTACATGTAGATTAAAGACTTTAGGTATACTCATATGACATATGTATTGTAAGTTTAACAAAAGACTGTAAATTATTTTTAAAAAAAATACAAATAAGTACGTGTTTGTATACTTACAATACATAATATAGTATATAGTTTTCGTATGCTTTATTTAGAATGTCGCAAGGTATTGTAATTAATATTATTCATTAATAGTGTATACGTAAATACTAATATAGGTATAAATAATAAATACATAACTGCTATTAATTATGAAGTTCACTAATTAAAGTTTCAGTAATTTAACATTGAATAGTTTATACGTAGCTATACTACTATACTAGTATAATATATTTATTCAACTGCAGGGTAATACCAATATACCCATACTGTACTGAATGTTAAGTCTACTCTTTATATTTTAGTCTATCATATATTTTAAAGTGAGTTATATCGAGACGCAAATATAACATTACAATTAAACTGTAATTAAATATGAATACCAACTACTACTGAACGGAACTTAACTCTTAAGTTTAATAATTCCAAAATGTTTGATACACTCATTAATCTCAGAGGTTGGCCTGTTGAACAAACTGGTAAAATAAATCTAAGTTAAATGTCAAATTTCGTTTCTGAAAACTTGCAAATCATAGAACATTTAATATTTAATTGTTTTTACATATTTAAAAAATGTATAAATGAATTGTTTTTATGCTCTGCTCAACATTTCGCAAAAGACTTATTACTATAGTATTAATAGTTATATAATTTGTGAAAGCTTTTAAAAGTTAACACACTCAGTATAGTCAATGTTTCAACACTATATTCTTATTATTTTATTTTGTTATTAAAACACCAACCAATTCACTTGATCAAAGCTTAATGTCATACCTTGCTATATAGTTAGATATTTAGTTTACGATTTATGCGAGTTTATATTAGTATATAAAAACTGAAATATTATTATAATACGAGTGTACATTTCTTATAGAAAACGTCATTCATTGCTTTTAATTTTTGTTCAAACTTTTAGATAACTGTATAGTTATAGGTAGTCAGGACAAATTTCTGTTTTCTTATTCCACTGACATTTGATCAAAACATAATATAGATTTATTAATCGTATGTATTAGCATTGTATCTCATTATGTTTATAGAACCATGCAAATAGATGCAAGCCATACACAGTAAACGAATATGAACAGATTAATTGCACATCGTTACGGCTTAATCGAAGTGTTGGTTTGAGTATAAATGTTTAGAGGCGTACGTAATTGATTTGGCTATGGAGGATTCGATTTGTTATCAGATCGAGTGTTATTTCATTTGAATCGCGCCTTACTAAATTCTACGTTTGCAATTTAAACGTCCAAACCGCATTCGCAAGGCTTTGATTGTATTCACAGCCTAAAATTGATCCACAAATAATGCTTTGTAGCATGTTAGCTACACGTATTTACCAGCTTGATTGTCAATATTATATATAGTAACGCATTAAACTCAAATTTGCTTTTTACGAAATGTATGTAGGTAATTATATGGTTCTTATTAATTAATTTATTATTATTGAATAATACGTTACGTTAATATTATAGAGAGTATAATAATAAATAAGTCACACAGTGGCAGTAAAATTGAAGATTTTAGAGCAAAACACATTATACTAGTTACAAAACACTAATTTCAAACATGAATTTTATATCGAAGGTTTAAAAACTGTTAATATATCAACTAAAATTATTATAATATAATTGCAGCAGAATACGAAAATTATTTCGAGTAGTCAATGAAAAGCATAAGATACTGTAAATAATATATAATAGCCAGTAACAATTCAAATTTGAATTTTTACATTTTTCTTCTTGGATAATTTTTTTTTTTTTAAATTAAGTTAGGATATATTTTACATGCACTCAAAGCTTACTTGTGGTTAATCATCAGGGATTCATTGCTCCCGCTTTATAGTAATCCTATAATACACGAATAATACAGTGTAGTGAACATTAGTTGAGTTTGTTTAATTTAATGATATATTTTGATACAAAAAAATGTGCATCTTAAAGCGAATCAAGCGTTTAAAAATATCATTGTTGTTTTGCATGATATAAAATAATTCAGTGATAATTATAATTAATTATTTATAATTTAGTTTTTGTTACTTGTATTCAAAACTAATATTTTTTTTATTAGTTAGATGCACAAGCAACACAATATTTTGGCTTTAATTTTTTGCAGCAGAAGCATTGTAGAAGCATTATTGTAGTATTTTTTTTTATAAAATATGCGTATCGATAAAACTTATTTTAAAAGCATCCTATCTACTTCCGGAGTCACATACTCAACAGTTTTATAGGTATAGTTTTATAAGTATTCTATACACTAAACAGTTACATAAAAAATCATTTTATAAAGGGAAAAAAATAATAACAATATCAGAAATAATAAATCTATACAATTTGACGTACAACTTATATAACTTATATACCAATAACGCATTTTTAGTCGAATATTTATAAAGTCGAGTCGATGAGTGATGGACAGTGGTGAAAAAATTCGTTACTGGTCGAAATCATCAGCCAAATAAGCTACAGTGATCAGATGGCTCGTAGATCCTACGTAATATTATACAATTTATTTTTAGTGTCGTCAACATAAATCATTAAATACCTTTACGGTTAAAAACATGCTTCACAAATAATGAATTGGAGCAAGAACGTATACCTACAAATCTAATGCGAAACTCATTTGTGTTCATTTAAATCATAAAATTGAGGACGAAGTTTAAAAATATTTTAATTATTAGTAGTAAGTAAATTGTTATAGAAGTTAAAATAAGGATTTTTCTGTTCTGCATCACTAATAATAAATCCTCGTAGAGATTATTTTTAGAACAACATCGAGCCTTCCGGGTATCGGTTTAACGAGTACATTGTATATAACTGTGTAGTATGCGTAAACACACTAACGCACAGAGGTGCAGATTTGAGTGTAACATTTTCGGTCCAGTGCACCATCAATATAATATAAGGGAAGGGTGCAGGGTGGTTAATACTGGTTTGTTGAGCGTATTTTGATGATGACCACGATGCTTGCGATTTTAATTGTAAGTAATCGACGATAGTCGTGGTCGAAAGTCATCCAGTTATCGTACACCTATGCGATACACCTATATTGAGCTCGTCGGTTATCGGTCGACAGTTACTTTTATAACACAAACAGGATTAGCAAGGCGTATTGTACAACACCAACCAAACAAAATTTACGGGGCGATTATACTTGGCAAAGGTATACTAAAACTAAATATACGCGCACACTTTGCAGCGAGTGGCGTATACGCGTACCACCTACCTATACATACATATATATATATATATATATTGTACACGAACGTTAAGGCGAAAAGTACGCTACATCACGTGCTTTTATGTACAAGATACGATATTATATTACGCGCACACACATATATTATACATGCGTGTGTGCACATAATAGGGGGAGAGAAAACCCTCGGGTGTGTATGTATATACGAGAACTCGCACACGGACACACGCAGGGCCATAATTTATTCGGCCGCCTTTGCAAAAACCGCTTTGTACCTGCAGCCCCGTTTCTGGGGCCGCGGGCGGGTCGACAGGAGAGCTCGCCTCGTCCGCCCCTCGCTCGCCGTCCTCCGCCGCGCCCCCGCTATCTATCTTTCTCTCCGTCGTCGTCGTCGTCGTCGTCGTCACCGTCACCGTCGTCGTCGTCGTCGTCGTCCCCGCGTCCTGTATAATATTATAATAATATTTTATGACGTAGGGAACGCACGCTGTATGCACACATAATATTATGTAGGTATACCGGCTATATATATTGCAGTGTGCGTGTGGGTACAATACACACTCGACACACCGTATAGGTACCCTTTTCGAGCGGTAGGCCCGGAGGACGACGTTATAAATATATGTGTACATATACACATGCGTATAAACACACACACACACACACACACACACATACATATAGGTATGCAAAGGATTGACGGGCACGCGGAGGAGAGAACGGCGCCGCCGACAGTGGTGTTGGCCCGGGGATTATGTAATTTACAATTCTAATTATTTCGAATATTATATACGTACAGAGCCATAAGAAGAACCTGGGCAACGGTCATCGGTCCGGTGCTCACGCAATTTTCACACAGCACACAATATTATTATATTATCGCGCCGCCACCGCTATATTATAATATTTATAATATATATAATAGCGTCGCCGCGTGGGATTATTCATGTACACGCATTGCTAAACACTTGCCGCCGCCGCCGCCGCCGCTACACACACACACACGCACACACACACACGCACACACACACATGTATATACACTTTTTCATAATGCAGTAATCAGAAAACTCTCCTATTGTGCCACCGAACCCGTGTGCGTGTGTGCAGGCCCCCGAGATGTGTGCGCACACCCCGCGCACCTTTGGCGTTTTACTCTCTTGACGTTTTTTATTTTTATTTTTTCTGTTTGAAAATTTCTCCGCTCTCTTTTTTTTTTCTTCTTTTATTTATGCGCTGTACCCGGAAGTTTGTGTTCTAATGAATGCCCCCGAAACACTTGAAACGAATAAAATAGCCGTGCGATTATATTATGTACACACGCGTACACATGTATATAAGTACGACGACCATTAATATGATATGCATTGACCGCGTGTAAACAGTATTATATATAGGTATATAATACATATACATAATATATATATAGGTATACGCATAGGTATACGCACACGTAGGTGTACATCGCTGGAATACAATCCCTTAATTATCGTCGCTGCAGGTTACTGTGTGTGTGTGTGTGTGTATTATATAGGTGGTGCGTATTACGTATATTATTATTATTATTATTATTATTATTATTATTATTATTATTATTATTATTACTATATACATATCCTATCGTGTCGTATAATATGACGTGACGATAGCGCTAATCACTTTGAGTCTGTGTGTGTGTGGTGTGGGAGGTGTACATAATATTTATGTATACGCGAGTCTCGCGCTCTGCACAATGTTTGCGAAACATAGCATCATTTTTCTAGGCAAATGTTATTACCGGCCGTTGTACGAATCCACCCCTATCGCAAGCAATATATAGGTACTCATGCCTATTATATATATTATGCTCATATACTGCAACGTGATTGTTTTAACTGCATAAAATACTCTTTGCTTCGATGCGATTTTAAATACTTAGAATAATTTTTTTTTTACCTACTATTCTGAATTCATAACACAGGTTTTTGGAAAAATTATACTTTTTACCATTTTTGATCAACTTTAATGTTTTTGTGCTCGTTTTAAATGAAATTTTTATGCATAGAATTTCTAGTATTCGGTTTCGACGTATGAAATTCAAAATGTATTTATTCGTGCAACCAAGAACTAACATTCAAAAAAGTAAAATAAAAACTAGACAAATTATAACTATAAAACATAATGCAAAATATTACATACTATCTTCTTTATTCCGAAACTATTTATTCTGTAATGACTCATAAATTATAATATATGTAAAAAATAAATATTTTTTAAGATAATAAGTTGAAATAAGTTAAAATAGTCTGAATATATGTCATCTATACACATCATCGCATTTTCTTTGTGATGATGAAACTAGTTAGATAAATAATTGCACCGTTTGCTATTTATCCTAGTACATAATAATAATATGTGTAGTGTAAATTAAACCTATTTTTACAAATATTTTAAAAAAACCATGATATGACACAATAAAAAAGGATAAGCAAAAAAACATAAAGTTCATGTCACATAACTAATGTCAGTGTTGATTGCTTCGCAGGACTAAAAATATATCTATTTATATATACATATGTTTATTAGGAGGTAGAATTACTATGATTTAAATATTATAAAAATAATTTTCAATTTTGAGGAGATATAAAGGTTATATTGTAGAGCCAAACACATAAAGGTACCTGATTTTTTAATGATTTTTGACTCATTAATTGACAATTGTGCGTTCCTATCATTTTGTCTTTCTAATGCAGTTATGTTAGAAAATACTAAATAACATGAAGTTGCAGGAATTCGTATGATTTAAAATATATTTAAACTTTTAAAAGTTTGTCACATACTATTATGGCGAAACGTGTGATATTTTTTTTCGAATTCTTTATCACACTGCGTGGAAAATGCATATGGATTTTAACGCCATTATCCACTGCCAGGGTCCCACACAAGTATACAAGGATAAGAGTTTTAATGGTCTGTTTCCGTCTGCAGACCAAAGTGCGCGCGTGTGTACAGATGTAAATTGTGTTCATTGCTGAAAACCTATGTGCGTTTTGTTTCATCCTTCACGTATGTATACTGTATAGGCTATGTATGTATAGGTAAGCCTGTGTGTATATTTACAGTATATACATAAACATAAGCGCATTCATATGTCTGCGCGTGTGTGTGTGTGTGTATATATATATATATATATAATTTATATATATATATATATGGAGAACGAGGGATAGAATCCTATTAAAGAACCGGACAAAAGGGTTTGCAGGCAAAAAGCTCGGCTTGCGAGTCGGGGAAAAAGCAGAGCATGCAAAACTCGTGTCCTTTGTAATTAAGAAAATAATTAATGTTTTATGCGCAACAACTGGCGAAAAACCAATGTTAAAAAAACACACACACGTGTATGTATATAATACACACGACGACAAAAGGTCGTTGACTAGGTGGTGTATGTGCAGTTGCGGGACAATGCGACAGTGTGTCAAAATCAACTGTTCACCAAGTTGTCGTACACAATTTTATATTTCAGTGAAACCTATAATGCACTGATGTTATGTTATTTTGTAGCTTAAATGCTTAATACGCTTTAACTAGAGAACTAACTACAAAAAGTTTGTTTTGTTTATTATTATCATACCTAATATATATATATATATGTGTAGCTCAATAGTTGGGGACTATATATAATGTATATTTGTAAGGCTTCTAGGTATAGGTAATAGATACATACTGTTCTGAACACCAATAAAACACCTAATCAAAATTCAAACATAAAATTCTATCGACACTTGTTTTTCTGTTTACAGATAATACTACGTTCGACCATTAAATAAAATTACATTTGATGAACATTAATTAGGCTATAGCTAATACCTATTACGCACATTGTCATGTAAAATTTACGAGGTAAATTGAAGTAAATATTCCAAGAGTTTAACTTGAAACTATGATTTGGAACATCAATGATCCACTTCACTTCATCGATTTAGATTTTAAAAAAATGTAAATATTTTTGTTTACCAACCATAGGTTTAATAATATTATGCATAGTTTACAATAATCCTTTTCGCGTTATACCGCGGGGGGTAATACTAAGCTAAATACTCACGTACGTACACAAGTCCGGCCATTTTCGTGATTTAAATATGTATTTTAAATACCTATGATCTATAGTTGTTACTTGATATAATGTATAGATATATTATAGCCACATCAATATTTGCGAATAAAGAACATGTTACATGTATTAACACTAGCAACTCCATTAAATATAATTGTTATACAAAACGTAAACGCGTAGTAAGGAACGTCTTAATCTCAAACATAATAGTATGTACCTAATATTTTAATGCTCAAACACTATTTTTTTATTATATTACAACAAAATAGCACTCGAATATAATATTCTAAAATAGAGGCGATGCCAAATATAATCGTGAATATAATAGGACCGGGATTGCAGGGGATGTTTTTCCCTGCTATTGCAATACCAGCACATCACATATATTGTATTTTCGTTTTTGTTATTAACAAGATATAAGCCCTTATTTTGATACAACGATTCCCTGAAAATGACGCCAATATTATAATACCGTGGACGATGTCCGAAGGAGCAAACTAATAATAATGATCATGCGGTAATGTATCGAGAATTGCCATTCAAGATTCATGAACATTTTAAACACATTATCTTTACCATCGCTGGTAGATATTAATATTATTTTCTTTTCTTGCTTTTGTTTTTAACTTGTTTTTTCGTATTGCCGTCCTAACGTGAACACAATTTTAACACTGCCACTGTTTTAAATATACATTTTGGTTTTACCTTATTTATACGTCCACTGTAGTTTTAATTTTCTGTTAATTATTATGCATAAACCACCATAATCGTGACGAGTGTACAAAGTAGTCTGTTCACGTATACGTATTGTTATCTGTAAAATTTAAACAAAATACAATTAAAAAAAAAAATGTATATTACTTTGATTTTATTAACTAAATTCATTTCGTTCAAAAACTAAATTGGTTATACTGCGCTTCTGCACACGAATAACTATTTTCAGACATAATAATTATTATTATTTTAGACGTATGTTTTCTATTTTCGATCTTATATAAAAATTTGAGTTCATTGGTATATTATATTACCTATTAAACTCCTTAAAAAAAATGTTATGAAATTCCATCAAGTAGGTCGTAGGTGTCTATGTATAATCATTTATTATATACGGTTTTATGTAATAGGATATCGTCATATTATTCCCATTTAGAACCTATGTCAAAATTCACATGAATATTACTATATTATACATTTACACAATACTATTATAATAGTAGGTAAATTGTATTCATCTAATTCTAATAGGACGGTACACAACACAAACATAGAAGCATCGACCCTTCAAATAATAATACACATCGCTGTTAGCTACAAACGTTGCTTTACATTATTTACTTTAGAACATAGGAAGTAGGTGTACCGTCAATGTGTATAATATATATAATATTAAGCCCTCGTGGTTAGCATACGTTTTGAATACTATCCATATAATAATTACTATTAACTTGTCTAGGATAGACATGGCGTTCTCAAGTGTCCGGTTTCCCATTTGTTATATAGTGCCCTACAACTATATCAATAGCGTGTTTACATAATATATAATGTTTATATTATGTATAAAATAATAACAACCTGTCGAACGAATAACCCCCAACGCACAACGATGCACGATACGTGGCAGACCAAAAATATCGTCGAAATACGTAATAATTCCGGTAAATCTCAAGCTCTATAGATCTTATGACCAAAGGTCATATGTAATATACTTAATAGCTTATTAAAATAATAAAATAAACTGTACATATAAGATTATCTGTAAGGTGAATGATACATCGTACTCTAATCACTGAGTCACACTATTTGGTACCGATATAGTGAAGTCAAAATGCGGAAGTCATGATAGACGATATTATAACAATATATACGATTGTCGATTAACCCGTCTGACTATATTACAAGTATAATACCCTTCAAAACCGTTTTCGCGGTCAATTTATATTATAAACAAAAATGTAGTGATCCTTTTTTTTGTTTATAATATTAAAATACATATTATTATTTATACTTTATACGAACAGTCTTAAGAGCAAAATTGTTTTCTGTTAAAGTGAAGATTAAGTTAAACACATTTAACATAATGTAAAACATTTATTAACTTAAAGCTTACAAACCGAACAAATGCGTCAATCGAATTTAAATTTTAATCGGTTCCCGAAATTCTATTCAACGATTTCTAAACTTTTGATTAGGTTCATTTTTTCATCTAAAATATCGATAGGTACTAATGCAGATATTTTTAAAAATAATATAAATGCCAACTTTTTAGTAATGAAGGTTTTTAAATATGGACTTCTTGTGTACAAAATAACTTATTAACATTTTAAACCCATTCTTTTTGTTTAAATAATTAAGATTTAACGAATTTCGCTAAAATCATTAGTACAATTAGTTATATAGTCAAATATAATGAGTATATAAACCCGGTTACTCGCTGAACCGCATAACTATAGGTTTCAAAATACAAAATATACTTATAACTTTAGTTATGGGTGCTCATATAGTTTCATATTCATGATAAATGTACAATTCATTCTATTTTTTTGCTTTGTTAATTTTTAGATTTTTGACAGTAATAACTAAACGTAAATATGAAATATAGTGTATTTGTTTTTATAATTACTTTTATTTAAAAATTACCTATTAGTTGCTATGTATTACAATACTAGGGAAAATTATGGTAAATATATTTGTATATAAGATTTATTTAAAGCTATACTCTAATAACTTTGTATAGGTACTTCGCCGTTTGTGCACTGCAAAAAAGTAATTATTTTCTCAAGGCTCAAGCACCATATATTGTATACTCACAAGACTTCTATAAAATAAAAGGCTTAAAGTTAACACACCAGCTACACAACAGATGCACAACGCTACAATAGATACACAATTAGAGCAAAACAAAATATTTGTACACCATTTTTGCTTTTAGTTTACACCATTATACCTAGTCAGTAGAGAAATAATTTAGTTAGTCACTAATTCCCTACCTTTTTTTTCGAATAGGTAAATGGTTTACTTAATTAACTTGCTATTTAAAATACTTACAAATTCTATAACCGGACATACACTTGCAACTGTGATTGTCAATCTTCCTATAAAATCAAACATGTCTGAAATTCGTCGACCAGATTGTTAATCTTTTTCTTTTCTTATAAATACATTGCTGATTGTCATTCCTCGAATGATAGCGTAGTAAAGCTTATTAAGTTCATTATAAAACACATGCATAATAATATCGACGTCCACAACAAAGAGGGAAGCAATTCAATTTTCCGATTTTTTTTTTTCAATCTGGTATTACTGTTTATCTGGATGTCCAGGAAAACTGATTGTGGCATAAATAATTAACCAAAGACGTTATAAACAAAAAGATTGAGTTACTGCCATTTTCGTTGGAAGTCCAAGAAAACAGTAACAACAAACTGAAAAAAAAAAATTATAAAATTGAGTTGCTTCCTTCTTCGCCGGGGACGTCGAATAATCGATATCAGAACATTCACATTATGTAGTTTATGTTCAAACAATATGCTTGTAATGAAGTGAAAGTAGACAGAAAAATTAAAACTATGATCGTAAAGTATTAATTCTAATACTTGTTGCTTTATGTTATTCCTAATTCATTATTATAAATTATAGTACATAATAGTTATTCGTCATATTAAAACTAATAATATTATTATGACATGAATGCGTGAGTTTATTTGGTACATATCATATTTTTTAAGCTGTAACTATAATAGAAATGAACTATTTTTGTTTAATGTAATTTCTACTTAAACTGCTAATACCTACCGTTATAATATGCTATTTTGTGTGAGTACAATTTCAGAAGAAAAGAACTGCTTTTATATTTCATATATTAATATCGCCAAGTATTGCTTAACCAGTTTGAAAACTTCAGTTTGAATGAATATATAAGCTTTATATTCCTATTTATTGTAGCTACATGCAGGTACATACTATTTATAAATATTTTCATTAAATTTACTAAACGTTTAACAATTTACAATCATAACCTAGTTTACCTATATAATTTAATTTTGAATTTTTTCTATTGAACAGCTTAATATGAAAAGGATAAAAGAAGACGGAACTTGTGAATAAAGTACTACATAGACATGTTTCGATCAATCAGGATTTACTGCAGCACGTCAGCAGTCAGCACCTATACACTTGAAGATATGTAGGTGTAAACATTATGATATTTTGAATCAATCGGTAATATTATTCAATTCAACTATAACACATATTATATCCATTATACATTTCGTAATTTTTTGAATTAAAAATGTATAGTCAAGTCATATATGTTTGAATATAAAATTTAAAAAAATAAATAAATATTGAACATTAGTGAGTAGGTACTCACACTTAATAGTATACCATGTACATACTTCATAATCGAAATTTCAAAAAATCAATGTTCAAATATTTTTTTTTCGCTCGTCCCTATAGTATGTAGGCCTTAAATTATAACGAATTATTGCACAATAGTTAATATTATTTGACGGTTTGATGAGAAACATAAAATATTTATAATCAATTGTTAAATCTGAAGCAGTATCGTGGGGATGTTTATTTTTGTGATCGTTTTTTCAACTAAAAATAGCAAACGCAAAACAATAAAAAGTGTAAAGCTCATAATATTAAGTGCAATATTACTGACGATATTGTGTTAAAGAAATCGATGAAAGAAAATGATTTTAATTTTAAATATTAAATGTAGCCACTCTTCTAAAACATTATTTAAATTTAAACATTATTTAAAACTCAGTTTAAGCATGAAAACTCAGAAATACGAATCATCTGTAGTACTTTTATGAATATTATGTAATATTATTATAAACGAAAATACTTTACGTTCAATATGTTTACACACACACACACACACACACACACACACACACACACACACCACACAGTTATGTATTATATAAATACATATAGAAGTAACTATGCAGACAAGCGCGCAAAGGTCTTTGCGGCCCGTCGGATCGATACGCCGCCGGCGGAGGAGAAAACCTAATTAAAACCGACTTAGCAACGTCCGCGGGAAAAGACCCCTGTCGGATTGCGAAGGAAAGAGGTGGAGAAGAGATCCCTCGTTGGCTCTTGTTTTTATGTATACGTGCAAATGGGGTGAAAACAAAATGAGGAAAAAAGCTAATGCGTATACGGTGTGCGGTCCAGGGGTAGTAGTCGTACGCTCGTTCATCTTACACACGTCCCCGTAGGGTTTCCTTTGTGCCTGTGTGCCGTTGTAAAAAAAAACCCTCAGTTCTGTTGCGAAATATACTTAGCTCTGGGAATCAAATATAAATTTAAATTTTTTCTAAAAAAATAAAAATAAAATAAAATGATAATCGCGTACCCCAACGCGAACTTTTCATTTTCATTTTTTTTTCCCACTATACTGACCCTCATCAAATTTGCATACGAAAACCTGTTTGTTTTTTACTTCAATCTGCTCTGTGCTAATATTAGGTGAACCGGAAACTATCACTCGTTTTACCATAAAACCACTATAATGTACATCAGAGTCAAAATATAATTTTATCTCTAAAATATTTACCAGTTATACCTATATATACCTATATAATATTATAGTTGACTTATTAAATTAATGCGTGGAATACAAATACCTATTAAACTTAATTAATATTAAAACACGAACCAAAATTATTATCTTACGCCCAAAAAAAAATATTTTTGAATATTATGCAAAAGTTAAAACCGCGCTATACCATTATATAAGTGCACCGTAATATCGGGAAATTTCGGAACAACGTTGTATCATATAGATAGTGTTAGGTACTTACATTAAATGGAAGCTATGGACAAAATCCGCATCCAATCACTGTATATTATAAATTTATGAGAATGTAGTAGGGATGTGGCCCAAGTGAAGTACATGTTCAACATAACCACCCACTGCTGTCGAGTCGAAGGGTAATTTTAGATTGTGAAATTAGAATACATAATTGCAAAAAATAGAATCAGCAAAAAACACTAAATGATAGTATTGGATACAGTAAGCTAATAGTCAGTATTGTGAAGGAATGGGGGAGGGGGGGTTAAGTATACTTAGTTTTTTACAGTTTTCGTATTTGAGTAATTTAAATATTAAATAATATATTTATTAGGAAAAAAAGTCATTGGTGGTGGCTGGGTTGATTAAGCGCCCCCCCCCCGGCTACACTTTTGCTTGGTATTATGTAAGATAATGCTTTTAATAATATCTTGATTTTTGGATCTATGTATAATCGATAGGAACATTATAACTGATCAAGGAAAAAGAAATTAAATATTCTGCTGAAAATCAAAATGCAATACTTACATATGTACAATAATTGTACCTGGTACATAGAACCTACATTTCATTTCAACTATGTTTATTCAATTTTGATTCACTTAATAATTCGTAGTATATGAGGATATAATGCAATGCAATATTGTTATTTAGATAAAAAATTATATTTTATTAAAAACAAATTATACATCTTATTTAAGTGTTATAACTGAGCGTGGGGCAACACAATATATAGCATATATAATATACCAATTGTTTTTCTACTTAAAAATAATTATTTATCACAATTTTATAAACAAGAAGTATTCGATATTCGAGAAAAACGTGCAAAATGATATGCTGTGCCTACATTTTGACGCCACCGCAAAATGACATAACTAAAGTAAATAATATTGTATAATAACGTGTTAAATATCTTCCACGTTTATGTTTAAAAAATAATACGTTAATAGGTAACTTTTATCTTGACGTATTAGCAAGGTTATATATTATAATGTGTGATTTTAAGTTTATTAAATTCATTGTTGACTACTAATACAATTATGATAAATAGCAAATAGGTAACATACAAAATGTTAGGTAGTGAACATAGTATATATATTAATGTCGAAATAATATGCAAAATATGTGTCTAAGGATTGTACCTATTATTTACATCATAGTTCTTTGAAGTGGATAAGGTGATAAATAATTTATTAGCCAATCGGAGTGAATGCGGCTCATCTCTCTGAAATATGATTTATATTTACTTATCTACTATTAATAACTCTACTAAACTTTAATTAATAAATAACTCAATAGAAAATAATAAAATTTAAAAAAAAAACATAATAGTTCAACTAGCATAAACAATACATAGCATGTTAATTGATCAATCTGTGTTTAAAAATATTATTTTGCTGTCCAAAAAGCACTTATAAAGGTCATCAACGTGACTAAAATAATTACAGGTAGTACAAGTAATAATAATAATTATTAATATATTATTTACTTTCTATTATATAATAATATTAACTTATGATCGTCTTATTCGTAAATGTATTGGTGTTTTTTTTTTTTTTGTTGATATTATTCAATAAATGATTTAATAATTTGGTACATTTTAAAGCACCAATATACTATCGTACAGTACACATAACCATAAAATTACGATGGAAAAAATCTTGAAAACCTTTGAACTAAACCGGACTTACTAACAACTTGGTATTATTTATTGTTAATAGGTACTGCAACCAACTGGCTACTGGTATTTCTAGATAACGTATATATAGCTTATAAACCTTTTTTCCCTAGTCTGGGTACTTTCGTTATTGCCGCAACAATAATTTTGTCCTTATCAGCATTGTCCGCACTTGGGCTTTTAGCACCGTTTCGCCGCATTTTTCGTGAGTATTATTCATGTAAACTTAGGTAATTTAAATTTTTAATTTATCCTCTGCAGTCTCGTATTTTTAAGGTAATTAAAAAACTATGCCATTATTGTAATAGACCTTAATGCGATGGGTAAACAAATTAAAAATAAGTGGAAAGATACTCTACAACGATAGTATTTTTTTAAATATATAATATAAACTTGCAGCTATATAAAATAAAATATAAATGTAATTATTATATGTTTATATTATTGTATATATAGGAACCTTATGCCTATCTACGAAATGAGTAGATACAATTGAATAGGATTTCAATATAATATTTATTGTTACTACGAACAAAGATACTATTTTGTTACTTCTCGTCCCTATTCCTCTTTGGATCGAATATGTTATAGAACGTATGCCGTATACGTGGGTGATTGATGCGATGTTAATATTTATAAATTATAATATATGTATAATATATTATATAGTATACTAATCACATATAATTTCAGGGTAAGTAGCAAAACGAGAGCAACGGCGTTATGAATCAGATTCTTAAACGGCGGTTCTAACAACTATACAATAATAACGTTTTTCCTTTGTATTTTTCTTATATACTTGACATTTTTTTTTACTAACAAAAAGTTGTGATTTATTTATTTTGTCATGTAAACCTGAGAACCACTATTGTTCTAAACATTGTTAAATCCAAATCTATAGAAGCAAATTATTAAAGGTCCCCACACACTGCAGCGGTGGCGGTGAAATTCTTTTGTCTTGGCGGTGCCGCCGCGGTGGCGGTGAATTGTGTCCGGACTCATTTTACCGCCACCGCTACCACCACCGCGGCAGTGTGTGGGGACCTTAAGGCATGTCAATTTTATCACAAAAAATATTGTAAACATATCTAATTTTTGGCAACGTTTTTCATTGGGTATGTTAGCTTTTATAAATAAATCTAATTCATAAATGTATAATATTCTAATATGTGTATAATGTATACATACATGTAAATACATTAAACGTGTAAATTAATAATTTGTACCCATTAAAAATAATATAAAAACGACATGACCACTGATAAGTAACTTAAATCCAAATAATTAAAATATAACCGTGGTATATCCTGAGAAAATAATAGAGGGATGTTTCGACAGTGCTATTTCATTCAAAGAGAAGAACGGATTATAATATGTTCATCGTCGAAAATAGCCAAGGTGTAACACGTGTTTACTTCCTTATACCTTTGATTACAGTTTTTATTTTTATTTTCAAAGTAAATCTGAGTGCAGATTTTAAATGGCGAAGGAGGTAACTGTGATGATTTATAGATTACCGAGTATCATTTATGCCGCACTCAGTGGATTTTCTTAGGTATAAACAGAACACAGGGACGTGGAGTATGATAATATAAATCATTGGCATAGCTAAAAAGTCGAGTTCAAATCGTGAAGTAGAGATATCAGTCATCTCTACATTTTTAAGTAACATTGTTAATTTAATTTAGAATAGGTATAATAACCTACCTTATAGATCATCACAATAATTCAATTTGTTTCAACTCGTACTCCGCTACCCCTGTGATCTTCGATTTATTACTCTTAAGAACAGGGTTACTCAGGTGTTTGTTTACTGTACAATATTATTACAATTCAAACATTTAATAAACATTGTATGTACGTTGCTATATCGTGTTTAATTTTGTTAGCTTATGAACGCAGGTCATACGTTTCTAGGACCTAATATAACTTAAAACTCAGAAAACGTTTTCCGGGAAAACGGTTCTATTTTCCAATAGGATATATAATATCTTATTATTATTATTATTATTATTATTATGTGGATAATATAGTTTTATTTAACTGGGCGTACATCGATTGCGCCGAAATTACCTTTTTACCTGTAAAAAATCTGTTGATTCCGCCGGCTATTGAAGCCGCCGAAGTTTTTTATTTATTGATTACGCCGGTTAATATTTGTAAATTATTTATTTTAATAAAAACAAAATATAAAAGACTATTATTAAATGCAGAAGAAGAAAGTGAAAGCTTTAATGAAGATTTTATGTCAGTCGTTCCCGACGACCCAGGGTTAAGAAAATTCTGCGATTATATATGTGATAATTTTATTGAGGAAACATCAAAATTGAATTCAAAAATGTGGGCATCACAGAATTCTTCAAATTCTTCCGAACGAACTAAAAACAGTTGCGAATCGTTCATTCGAAACTTAATACTCAATTTACCAAAGTACATCCTAATGAATTTTTGTTTTCGCATGTACTAAATTTAAAAATTCAAACTCATGAATATATAATAATAAGAGGGCTCGATAATAATAAAATAAGTAAAAATAAAAATTACGAAAAAAAAAAATATATATATAGAAACAATTTTTGAAGACTATTTAAATTAAAAAATTGATAGATTTAAGTATATAAAACTGGCATCAAAGCACTATTCTGAAAAATAAATCAATTAATATTATTATTATATTTTAATTATTATTTACTGTTATTTATTTTATTTGTCTTACTATTGATTTTTTGGCGTTAACTAAATAAATTGTAAAACATATTATTTTACTATTTTAATAAATTTTACTTAAGAGAATGTTTGAATTTTTTTTTGAAATGTTTAAATTTAAATTTAAAAAAATTATGGTAAATTAAGTGTATCTTATACCCATACTATTGATTAAAAAAATACAGTCAGTCGAATCAACATAAACAAATATCCTCCGAAATTGATAGCCGGCGGAATTGATATTAAAACGGCGGAATCGATAAAACCCCACCTACACGGCTGTGTATATATTACATTATTTATTACTCTATAGTGTAGTAGTATAATATTATCATACAATTTTTAAGCAAATACTGCACACTATTATAGAATAATATTGTTTGATAACATATTAATGCCGAGAACAGAGAGAATATTATATTCACGATTAAAGTATCCACTTTTTTATTACTTTTGTAAATTTCAAAGCCTAATTTTGAATTTTTTTCATGTCTCGACACTTCTAGAGTTTTATATTAAGTTATAGTTTAACCGTTAAGACTAAAAACAATATTGTGAGATGCCGGACAAAAAAATGGACTCGCGACAATAGTGTATCTAAATGGCCTATACGCAGAGTTCCGTGTTCTGAATTGTACAGATTTAAACATTCCGAATAATATTATGTTTCGGAATCTGAAATAAAAATGTATCGAGTCATCCAAAGAATTCAAAAACTCGAAAACTGATAGCAACATATTATATTATAATTAGGGTTTTAAAATTTCATGAAATTTATTTCCTTGAAATATTTCATTTCAATGAAAAATAAAAATAAAAATATTGATTGAAATAATTAAAAATAATGGGGTTTAGATTTTGATATTTATTTTTAGACCTTTTTTTAACTACACCAGGGGAATTTGACAAAATAAGAAACAAGTAATAGCCCATCCATATCAGAAATTAATGTTGGGAAATGAACGTCTATATTTATTTAATAATCATATATTCGTACATTGTACCACGTAAACGCGATACTCTCCCCAGTCCCTAACGACGTTCATATGATTATAATTTATAATATTATATAAACGAAGAATTTATAATATTATTGGTTNTGTGTGTGTGTGTGTGTGTGTGTGTGTGTGTGTGTGTGTACATGTGCGTAATACGTACAATGTGCGCGAGCAATAATGATATAATTAACAGTCTCAAGCTGCGCAACGGTCGTCATGATATTAATATTATACATAATATATTATAATGCTAAATGTGTTGTAATTATTATGCGTTACAATGATATAACATTATAATATATCGTGCAGTGTAGGTTCACCACCGGTATTATACACCTATACCGGTATACATCATAACACTATAATATTATGCTCGTGTAATTAATATCGTATATTATTGTGTTATTGTCTTTATTACATAACTGCGCACAGCGTATATGATTTTATGATATTTATATAATTCGGACCGACGTGATATTTGAAATCGACGAAATTACTATAATATGAAACACGCACTGCCTATTTTTACTATTTACGTGTACATTGTTATTTATCAACAATAATTCCTAGCTAACGCCAGGGGTACGTACCCCCTCCCCCCACGTCCACAGTAGGCGCACTGTTCAATACAAGATAAAAGGCACACCGTTCGATTGCCAGCGTTTCATCCCAGACGACCGTCCGAATATCAATAATATGCCATTTTGTTCAAAACATAAATCATACGCTGTCCCGGATACAATATAACGACGAGTTGCGTTTATCAACAAGTCGAGCACCCTGCAGGGATCCCGTAAAGATAATAAGACCTCACCGTCGACTGTGCCGTGGATGGTGCATTACGGTAACAACATAATATTTCTTCCGGCATAATTACGTACGTAATCCGTGTAACATAATAATAATAATTATTGTCCCGTTGATGAAGAAAATAAAACATGATTACATGCGCGGATGGAGGTATCAATTTTCCGATTCTGACACTGGTTCCATTAATTAATACTGCGCGCACGGATCAGGAATCGTAGTGGGAAGAATAATTCTTTTTCAATTTCTACTCTGAAAAAAAAATAGAACTTGTATTATTTTGTTTATTTTATTCTATGTATTCATTTAACATATTAATTATTATAGAATTCAAGTATAGGCAATTATTAGACATTTACTTTAGGAGGACGCTACACCCACGTTCATCAACTATCCAGTGGCGTACCTAGGCCTCTCTTACGGGGGGGGCGAAATATATATAAATATATTCTTAAAATATCTTAAAAATGTACGTCACAGCTAATCTAACCCAACGGAAATTTCATACTTGTAACATACCTATGGAATAAAACATTTTAATATTAATAGGTACATAAAAAATAAATTATTGTTTAATTTAATAATATAGTATAATGCATGTTATAAAATAATTTTATTATAATTATAATTTATAATACGAAGTCTATTTTTCTGTTTTTCATACGAGAAAATCGTTCAATAATTTTATCCACTGGTATATTTATTTCTTGATAAATGTGCAATAATGCAAGGCCGCATAAGCGATCCTGGCCCATTTTTGAACGTAGCCATGTTTTTAGTCCACAGCACAAGCATAAAATAAAGCAAATAATAAATATAAAGAACTAAAAAGCAGACAGCAGTAGGTAGGTACTAGGTGTATAGGTACCTAGATTTATAAGAAAATTTTGTAGATTATTAATTTATCTTTATAAATAATAGGTTCTGTAAATGTTTGACATTAAAGAACTTTTTTTTTTAAACTAAAGTACTGAAGCAGCAGAGAGTATAAAAGCAGTGAGCATTCAATTGCTTTTTAAAAATAATATTATATACTTATAAGGCATTATTTTATATTTGTATTCTATTACTATAATAGAATACAAATATTAAACTAAAAAATAGGTATGACAAGATAAAATTTTACCGTCTTAGAGTAGAAAAGGATCGTTCAGCAGATGCTACACTTATAGGCAAGCAAGCCATTATACCAAGCAGTTTTTTAATATTAGGAAAAATTATTTCACTACATTCTGAAATACATTTAATGGCATCACAGTCAATACATTCACCTAAAAATAAAATCTAGGAATTGATTATGTTATCAATAATCATATTATTGACTTCACGAAAAAAAAAAATTATAATTAAAACTAAAAAAAAAAAAAACAATGGATGCCCCCTTCGCCCCCCACATGTACGCCACTGGACTTGGTATACGGTATATGTGATGCAATGGGCACTGAATACCTTTATGTTTAATTTAAAAAGTAGTAATCACATTTATTTACAATAAGATTTTTATTTAGTGACTCATAAAGAAATATGCTTGTGCTTCGAATATTTCAACACCACCTTCATTAATTATTAAATTAAAAATTAAAATAATAGGTACTTTATATATTGTTTTAATTTAAATTTTAAAACTATAAACTATTTTGGTTATTGTTATACCTCATTTCATTATATTAATGATCAAATCTCAAACACTGACCTCCTTGGTATACAATTTTGTAATATACTATGTATCTATGGTTTTATCATATCGACGTAGCATAAATTATAATGCAATCCGTGGCGATTGTCGAAGTAGTTGCAAAGACGAAATCGTTCTAAAATTTCAGTTAGCAAAGCTGTAAACATGAACAAGAAACATGAAGCGTTCCGTACGGTTTTTTTTTCATAATAAATCTCAATATTTTCAGACTTAAGTTCAGTCGTATATCTGATTTATTCCGCAGTGTACACACGATATCAGGAATTCCGCCGAAGCCCGAAAGCGTCGATGTTTAAAGTAACTAATTTTGGTTTCATACTTTTTTGGTGCTTAAATTTATTTTTTACATAAAAATTTAATTTCATGAAAAATATACTACCCCTATGTACACAAATATTTTATTTCTGAGAGCAAATGCATAAAATACGAGACATCAAATAATATACTAAATTAAAGATTCAATTGCCAAGAATAATGATTTATGTTATTTTGTTGTGAATTAAAAATGTTATTCGTGGTTACATGAAACTTTTAAAGTATATTATTATATTTTATATCCACAATGATATTTCAATTGTACTTATTTTTTAATGAATTTAATCTACTCCGTGTAGTACTAATACTTACTAGTAAAATAAATTACTTTAATCCCAATGATATC